CTGACTGACATTGGATGGGATGACTTGAAGTCTAGATACCTGTTGGAATGTGTCGGTTTTGTGTAGACGGTAGTATCCAAACAGTCATCTATCCTTCATTTTATCTTGCAATCTAACGTAGGTAATTCTCCTTGTTCATTTTCTACCTCCTCGTTAGTGAATTGGATGGCATAGAAACGACGTAACACCTATAGCAGAGAGATGGAAGATTTTACTGTCAATAAAAACAAGGAATTTGAGTTGGCTGACAGGACTATCAAAGTCAAACATTGAAAGTTATGCGATTACACATTGATATGATTACGCTTGAAACGTCACTATATCCCTCTGTGTTGTAAATCATTATCATGCCTTTGCACTTACGTCTGATGAATCCGCTTAAAATCTAATCAAAATCCTTAGTGACCAAAAGGAAAGCTGGATTCTACTAGGAGCTGAGCCTTGGATCTCGGTTGGTAGAACACGATAAGTGGTAACTCGAGCCCGATGGTGAGAATCCTGCCATGACCCAAGTTTTCACTTCACTTCCACTCATAACCCCGTTTCAGTAGAGTACCATCAGAAGATAAAAGCTGTTATATGTTAAGATCTTAAATGTCATTGAATATCCATCCGGATAAGGTAAAAAGTTAACGCCAGAAGCTTTTGGTGTTGGAGACCGGAAGTCAATTGACAGACAGCGTTGCCTGACCTGGATTTCCTACTTGTTAGTACTCATCAACAAGTTTTACCTATAACGATGACAGGAATGGTGTTCTCTCGGTGATTCATACTTGGGTCGTTCAGTGCTAAAATCGAGAAAGTTACCATCAAATTATTCATCCCATCGATTCTTTTAAGGTTTCATACATCCCCAGCTGACGAGTGTCAAGATGCCCGAAACGTTGGTCAAGCAGTGATTTCTGCTGAAAGCGCCTAACTATCTAACATCTATGCTACCAAACTGACAATTTGTCTCAGTTTATCGACCAGAGTGAAAATAATCGACAGGATTCACTCATCATTTAGGTCTGAACAACATGAAATTCGTTAGTCTCTCTAACTACTGTTCATGGTACAGGCTATGAAGCCTTCAGGAGATGCAGTTAAGTGACGCGGTTGACTAAGGAACAGTATAGAAACCGAATAAATTAGAAGAAAGTGGGGAAAAAAGTGCTAATCTGTATGAAATCGAATGATTCAGTTTGCTTTTTCCAGTGTGACATTTAATGTACCCTAGTCTTGGACGCTTTTGGCAGGTTGACTGGTAATTCAGTAGTCTTGTTACTATTGTAGGGGAGCATATTGAGATAAAACTTAATAACATCTTACAAGATCGATAAATCTCATCAGCTTATCTGATTTAATTGCTAAAAATATATTAAAATGTTTCTAAAAACCTTGGCGCATAGTTTTCACCATGTCCTAGTCTATAAGTTGTAGAACTTTTGCACTTAAAGTTGTTTTAAGAGACACGGATGGTACAAAGATGTTTTTATTTCAGTGACTTACTCATAGTATGGTTGTTGAAACGGGAAATCTTTCAGAGAGAAGTTATGCTAACGCATTTCTTCGCTACCGAATACTTTGTCGACTAATTATTAAATTGCACTCGATATAATTCAAAGAGGATTTTGTCGTTTATGGTCAGTACTTTTTAAAATAGCCACTTTAAGTAGTAAATGTATCTCTTATCTATAGAGAAAAAGATGCCGAACTATATCCCTTGACTAGAAATAAACGCAGATAACAAGTGATGTAAGTGGACCTTATAGTAGTTCAGCAATCGACTAGCTAGTCCGCGTTCAAAGTCATCTTACAAGGGGGAAAATACGTTTTTCAAAAATGTTAACATTTCATGGTAATTTGCGTATATAAACATCACTGTTAATGAGGACAAAATCATATATTTTGTCAAGTTCAAGTATAAAGACCTTATCATCTTGCTTTATTCCTTTCTGAAAGTTTGTAATATACAGTACCGGTCAGTTACTTCGAAAGATTTCGAGTTGTATCAGTCTTCGTCATAATTTATAAGGTTTCAAGTTGAAAAAAAACTAGGGGGTATAGGTTTTCAAATTTTGTTTCCCCGTCTATTCGGGTTAATCGAAGGTCGAGGACATCATCTTCAAGAACCTATAGCTTCAGCTTGCTTATACACGATGAGAAACCATAAAAAATATGAAGTTATTCTGTGTTTTTATAATCTGTTCACTTTTAAAAATAAAAAGGAAATGTAGGAAAGTATTCGCCTACAGGATGAACTTTATAAAGAACAGGTATCTAGACTTCAAGTCATCCCATCCAATGTCAGTCAGTGAAGGTAGGATTAGTCAAACAGCTCAATGATAGAGCTAGAAAACTGACGAGTCAGTGCAACAACCTAAACAAGGAATTGAAACACGTCAACGAAGCACTTATACTTAATAACTATCCTCCACAGTTTATCAAGAAATTCGTACGAACACACAAGAAACGAAAAAAACCGCAGCAGTAACACTAGTACGAATAATAACGACAATACAAGTAGAAAGGAGTTCACAACCTCTATTGTGTTGCTCTACAAGGAAGACATATCAGAAGCTTTATGTGGGGTCGTCAACAAACCTGGAATAAGTTATGGTGTCATTTAAACCTGCAAACCCACTCAGAGATAAGGTTTGTCAGCGAGTTGAAGGATCCTATAGAACCAATTAAGCGAAATAATCTAATCTGTCAAATTGCATGTAATGACTGTGAGTCAGGTGAAGTATATAGGTGAAACTAGTCAGCCGATCGGGGTCAGTTAGAGTAGCCGAACACAGGAATTTAGATAAATGTGGAATCAGGGAACCGAATAAGATGAATAACCTGGAGAAACCTCGGATATTGCATTGGATGCATTAAGATACAACTATCCAATAGAGTGGGATAAAGCCACTGTATTTAATTAAGTCCACCAATGGGATTAGGTTGAGACAGAGAGAGAGCGAGAGAGACAGAGAGAGATTGATTATTGAATCTTTGTTCATCGAATGGACCAACACACAACATATTTAATACGAATGATGACGCAACACCTATATCAGAGATATGGAGGACTGTTGTAGCAATGAAAACAAGGAATGAGTCGAGTGACAGGACTACAGAAGTCAGAAATGAAAAGTAGTGTGATTACGTTGATATGATTATGAATAGTGATAATTGATGCTTGAAATATCATCAGGTGAATAATACTAGATCATTGTGTGTTACAAAGGAAATAAACAATTCTATATGAGGAGAACAATTAAGCAAAAACATTCGTTCTTTGAAATCATCCACTGCATAGTGAAGTTTTCATATTATTTTAACTGCATAGTGTTGTAATTTTCACCATCACAATGGAGAATGTTCTTAGCTGAAACTTCAGAAAACTGTAGTTTTTATACTTCGTTTTACTAAGAGGCATAAAAATATCCATTAAAATATTCACATAATCTACTAATCGATTATAATGATAGGTTATGATTAAACAAAGACATGATGAAGGAGAAAGTTAAGATATAGACAATGAAGCAAATGAAAACATTAGACAGAAATTATTGCAAAGAATTTGTTTTCCACTGATCATAGAATGGAAAACATGTAGTTTACTTTCAATTTATCATTCATCTCACTTTTCTTCATGCCTTATGAACCATTAACAGAGATGTTTCTACACCTTCCAATTGTTTTTCTGTTATTTTCAACTCAAAAACTTGACATTTTAAAGAAAAGTTTTTTCTTAGAAAAGCCAAAAAGAAGTTAAAGCGATAAAAATTATCTTTTCGATGACTGATTTTTACATAGCTGTATATTCGGCCCTGTATAGCAACCGGAAACTATAAGTATCATAACAGTAGCTGATCCTGCTTACAGAAGAGGTGGCTATCGTGCCTCTAGTGGTCTAGTGAATAATGCTTTGGGTACTGGGTTCGAACTCCACTGAGAACAATATCACACACTGAGGTGTCGGGTATATCCAGTTGACGAGTCCGCAACAGGACTAAACGTGCATCTTGGATTCCTCTGCTAGTCACCAAAATGAACATAACATTGTGAATATCCGTCAGTAAAGAGGAATTCTCATATGAGTCCATCTGCCAACTTCGGCCCTGCATAGCAATGGGAAATCACAAATTTCATACCAACACAGTAAACAGTGTTTGTACATGTTTCTATATGAATACACAATTGAGGTTTAAAACTGCAAGTTGGCAAGGTTCAACCGAGTCATTCAAAAAGGAGCGAGGATTAGACGCTTATGCATCACTAAAGCTTTGACAATTTACAGCTTCAAATCTCAAATTGTGTATTGAAAAGAAGCATGTGGGTATACTCAGATACTCTGCAACTTTGTTCATGCTTTATTCTTGCTTTTTATCCCTTTATCGAAGTTTAGTATTCCTCCTGAACTAATTAATTTGAAGAACCATTGGAAAGCTGAAAGCTCTGGACAACTGTTTCTTTCTAGTATGGGACCCCTCAGCAGTGCATATCTATCACCCCGCACCAACAGACAACGAATCCAAGACCTGCAAGTCTGGTGGCAAACACGTTACCATTGAGCCACTGAGTTAGAATCTACATTTCCTACTTCTATTAGTTCTGCGGTCGTTGAGTAACTGTCCTCACGTCCGACTTGGTTTACCCCATCCGTCACGATTTCTCATTAAAACTTCGTAAAACCTTATCTAGAAGCAGGTCACTAATGACCGTTTGGTTACTGACCTATTGATTTTTACGAGGATCAAATTTCATTATTCAATCCATTCGATAAAACTGTGAATACTGTGACTACTGTTACCGAATATCAGTTTATTTCGACTATCAATAAAGCTTGACCTATGACTAGAAACTCGTCTGGAATATTCTATCATTTGTGACTCAATATTTAAGAACTTTAGACTGTTAAAATGAGTCGTCGAAATGATAATCATCTTTGCTGTAACCTTCGATTGTTTTTCAGTGACAGAATGAGGAGGTTTCTTTATTTAAAGATTTGAAAGTTTTAAACCTACCTGTGGATACATAACACCAGGTAGTATTGACGGTTGCGTTTGAGGAATGTGGAGTTGTTGTTGTTGTTGTTGCTGCTGCTGCTGTTGCAAAATCATACGTTGTATTCCTGCAACCAATGAACTGGGGATAGTAGCTGGTGGACGCTGAACAGTCGCATAAAGGTTACTATCCGTTGGTGGAGCTTGAAAGAAAAGTATAAAAGGTAGGGGGTTATTTAAAGTATTTCAGTGTTAATTGAGGGGCTTTATGGGGACAGACAGGCAAACAGATAGAATCTATTTGGAACCTCACACGCAAGTGTATCACTTCAATTTGTCACACTTTACAGTAGTGTACAAAGAACAGGCGGATAGAAAAAGAATGATATTTAAGTATTGACTGAAGGATTCGAACCAGCAACCATAGGGTTACTATTCTGGCAAACCAAGTAGTCAGAATGCCATCAAAGTCGACAAAATTGTGTAAGAGAATGAACAGTTTGAGGATAGTGGATAACGTATATCCTCTGAAGATCATCAATCATTATAAAAACGTCTGAGCGGTGCGAACTAATCAGTATTCTGTCATGAAGAAAGATGCTTACATCAGGCTACCGCATAAGGCAGAATCTAGCAGCACTGTCTTAAGATGAAGGCTTAATTCAGTTATTAAAAAGACATACCATGCAGCGCAGCTCAATATTATCCAGAAAACGAGACATATGCTTTGCAGTACACTTCATCGTTGCAGAGATAACTCTGTCACATCCCACTGTGCATCCCAGTTTACATGTGTGTGCGGTGACACATACATTAGGATCACCAATCGAGCTATGAAGTCGACGATGGTGAAACATATTCCTAAATGGTTGGAAAAATGATCACATTCAAATAATTCGCTAATCACAAGGGGTAGACGGGCATCATCCTCGATAGGTAAACACGCTATAGAAACAGGTTACAGGAATGACCCTAAAACAACCTTTAGACCATTGTATTGGAGCCATCAAAGCAGTATACTCAAGTTCGTTTAAGCCATAGCTACAGGTAAGTTCAACTCCCCTTTGTGTATTCAAAAACAATTTCTCCCTAATATAAATCTACCCTGATAATCCTTATTGCATTTTAATGCCAAGAAGGGTGTGAAAATGTATTATTCCTTCTTATTATCTCCATATTTTCCAAATCTTGTATGATCTTAATTTATCTATCTTACTCCACCCTATTTTCATCCTTCATATAAAATGGTTTGAGTAGTAAGGATATGTTATCACATTGTTCGAAATGTATTGCATGAATACATCACATTTCTCAGATAACCTCCATCATTAACTTATTACACTATGTACAGTCACTTGGGTGGAGATTAGAGAAACCTAGAAATTGCACACGATGAAAGATATATGTAAATTGCCTCTACACGCATCTAAGCTTGAATCTAGAAAAATTCTTATCAAGAGGTATCAAGATGAAGCAAAGTCGTTTTCGAAAGAATTCGAACAATGAAAATATGGATAATCACCAACAGAGGTGGTGGATAGTAACTCGGAAAAGTGTACGGGGACAATTTTAAAAGATAGAATTAAAATGGTATTCAAACCACCAAACTGTGTAGCCTAGGTAACTCATCATAAAATACATAACGCCTTCTAAGCGTGAACTGAACAACGTAGCGGTACTAGTCTGTGATTAGAAGGAAGGAAAGGAACGATAACCTTGTCAAACTGTCAAACAGGGATGACCTATGTCTTTGCAAGAACTCGTGCAGAATTATGCTCCATCCTTATCCATCCAAAGCAAAATATTAAGCTGCATCATCCTGAGGAGAATAAAAAAAAATGCTCTACATTAAAAATTACAACCGGAACAGGCTGGCCGGCCTCAGACAGAACAAATCATGTGCGGACAAAACTGCCACGCTACGCTGTGCATTATCATAGAACAGAACATAGAATGCCAGTCAACTCTCTACCTCAACTTCATCCACTTCAAAATTGCCTTCGATTGAGGTGTCGACCGAGAAGTAATTTGGCAGGGAGCTGCTTCAACACTACAGTTGTAGTGCCACAAACCCTTATCAATCCCATTCAAAAGCTATATGCTCTCTGATGATGTTACATGCCAAGTGATTCATAATGGAAAGCTCAGTGAAGCCTTTGAAATGAAGACAGGTTGACAGGTAAGATAAGGTTATGGCCTACTATCACGGATCATCTTCCTCATCGCGGTCGACTGAACTGGATCGTACAACAAACGACTGTGAGGAGCGAGAAGATGAGCATACACTTTTTGACCGATGAAAAAACCGCGGAAGATTTCGATTTCACCAATGATGATTTGTGTCGAATATCGCACAAACTCGAAGATCTTCAGGCAAAAACCAACAAGTTGACAGAAGAGGCAGCGAAGGGGGCAGCGAAGACGGAACTTCTTCCAGGTGAACGTGGAGAAGTGGGAGGTGATGAAGATACCCAAACAACAACATCAACAACACCAGTCATCTTCAACGGGATGTATCTAAAAGAAGTTGTCTCTTCCACCCACCCACCTACCTACCTACCTAGGCTGGATCGTTTCAACTACAGGTGGCGACACAGGCACAGATGAGGATGTGAAACCTAGGATCAGAAAGACAGCAAGATAGGCCTTCATTAATCTGTGGAGACTAGTGTGGAGATCTACGGCACTGCACTGGACTGTACTCAGCATAAAGCGTGAACAAGATCCGGATTTTCAACACTAAGACAGTCAACAAAGTCAGTGCTTCGATGTGATGGTTGGGGACGAAAAGCATTTGCAACAAACTACAGACATTCATCGACAGCTGCCACCTACGCAGCATACTGAAGATGAGATGGGAAGGCGAGAAAAAATGATCAAGGAGGAACTTTGGCCTGGAAACGAACCAACCAAAAACCCTTTTGGTAAACAAATATGCAGAGGAAAGTAGAGATGGACTGTATTGGGCATATACTGAGAAGACAGTTCGGGGATACCACACAACAGGCCCTTGAGTGGAACCTGAATGGGAAACGACGAGTTAGGCGTCGGATGGTGACACAGAGGAGACGGTGTAATGAAGAAATGAAGGGTTGTGGGAAGTGATGGGGACAGGTTAGGAAGACTAGAGAGAAGAAAGTAGAATGGCGCTGTGCAACCAATCCCTGTTTCACTAGGAAGCCAAAAGCCCAAAAAAAAAAATACAATTACTAGTTTGCAAAGTTAAACTGAAGTTTGAAATGGAATCTAATGAAGAGCGTACTTGGAGGTGAGAGTTAGAAAGTAAAAGCTCTTTTGGACAAGCAGCAACTTACAGTCTTAGTGGACCAGTTGACTCAAATTTCTGTTATTCAGGCTTCTGAACACCATAGTCTTCAAAAGGTTGAAACTGGGCTTGTGTAAACTGTGAAAATGATCTTCAAATGTCTACTGGATGTGTGGAATAAACCTTGAAACTAATTTAAGGGGTGATAGAAGTTGGAGGATTACTGAAAACCTTTTAGTACAAGACAGCTGTTTCGTCTTTGTATGAGACTCATCAGCAGAGCGCACTTATGAACTCTCCAGGGATCGTGCCGAAGACATTCAAGTTTCTTAGTGAGTGTTTTGCTGTTGAGATGCCGGGTTTATTGGATTCTAGCCTAGAGGGTGAATGGTAACATGTTCGCTGCAAAACTTTAAGGCCCTGGGTTCGACCACTGGCTGGGTGATGGATACCAACTGTTGAACAGTCCCTTACTAAGACAAAACAGTTGTCCAGTGCTCCTAAATTTGAACCGTTAATGTTTCACCTCGTAAATGAATGTTCTGAAGAAATTCCAGAAGTTCTGTATGGTCCAACAAAGACGAAAAGCATAAACAGGTGAAACTGATTGAGCAGGAAGTTGTGTGATCGTAGCCTTATGGATTAAGTAGGTTAATGGTTGATTCCAAGACCAAAATCCTCATAAGTGATTACTGATGAGTCTTGAAATATAGCACAAATCACCTTTTATACTGTGTTTACGAAACGAGAACATTGTCAGAAGATGAAACGGAACAGAGGTATTGATATATAGTCGTGTTTACATACGCATGACAAGTATAGTTTAAGTCATTGGCTGGTTACTGAAGGGCAACTAACTTCGTACTGTTCAGACCCAACCAGTGGCTAGATGGTGACTTGCTGGCTGTGAAACCGGAGGGTAGTGGGTTTGATCACTGGCGGGGTCTTGGGTGCGCACTGCTGAGGAGCCCCATACTAGGACAAAACACCCGTCCAATGCTTCCAGGTTCCCAATGTTTCTCCAACTGATGTCAGTCCATGACGAATACCAACTTTAAAAACCACTAAATCTCCACATCCCAAATTCAAATGTACGTTGCTGAGATAGTGTTCTTCCGTTAAAAGGTGGGTACATAGATGCGTTTTGTTGCATTAACTCTAAACCATAGTGGGTGATGCAGATGCATACTGTTCCAAACTTTTGAAAATATACAACTTCGCTATCTTTTTTCGGCTGATAAATGACTTTGAAGTAATCGGTTACGTTGAAGGTCAGTGTGAAGTTGGTCTGGAAAGCTTTGAGTTGATAAGAGAATCTCACTGATTATAGTTAGGCTTAAGCAAAGTTATGGTAGTAAGTTCGACGGATTCGAAGAGGATTATCTCTCATACGATAGTCTTTTACTATTTGCCAATTCTCAGAAGGTCTTCATGACCCTGTATTTCTCAAAAAGGCAAAAGTCATAGACAAGCAGGTCATATCGGATTAAGCTTCAATATTGAACTGTACTCTTTGAAACTTAAACATAACCTATATCTTGACCCCATCAACCCTACTGCCTAATTCCAAGTAGGTTAGCAGTATCCATGAAATGATTTAGTAGCAAACAAACAGAGAGTAGGTTCTTTTTTAAGTTCAGCAGCTAAAGTCTAATTTAAAAACCCTTCTACATGTGTTTATGCAACTAATGGAGAAGCAATGGGGAACCACTTGAATGCTTACTTACATCTGTATCACAGTTCACATCCTTCATTTCCGTTGAGTCACACGCATGATCATCTTTATCGTGCATACCTCGATTTCAGGCAGTAAGAACCGTTTGAAAACTTGGATAAACTCTGTATATCACTTAAGCAATTTTCCTGAATTTTTTGTATTAAAATGTCTAAGGAAGCAAACGTTTTCCTGTTACTGCGGTCAGGGCAGCTTACAAGTCA